CGACGCGCGGCCGGTTCCCGACCCGCCACCCGGTAACGGGGAAAGGGGAAGGGGGGCGGATCGGAGCGGGGGTGAGCGGCGGCGTGCCGCGGCCATCGTACCGAGCGGGCCTCGGGGCTTGCCCCCGGCCCTGCCGCCGATACGCAAGCGGGATTCCATATTCACGTTGGGATATTTAATTCCCAATTTAATTTAATGAAGTGGCGGCGCTTTCCACCCTCCCGGCCGTCACTAGGTGTCAGCCGCGCTCCGTGGGAGCGGCCCGCGGGGCTCCGCGCTCGGCTGGGCGGCTTGGGGAGCGCGGAGGAGGAGGAGGAGGAGGAGGAGGGTCCCTCCGCACCTACAGAAAGAGCGATATACGGTCTCTAGGGAAATCTGCAGATTTCCACTTAGTCACTTCAAAGTTTAGTCATTTTTTTTTTAAAACCCGCATCTGTCACAAGACTGTAGGCAGCATTCCTTCGTTCACTTTTATTCTGCTTTTCTGCAGGCAGCCTTCCGCAAGTTCTCTCCGTGAACAAGCTCCAGGAATAACGAATGACATTTCCAAGTTGACCCCTGTGCGCAAAATGGTACTCAACAGTGACTTCAAACTGCAGGCGGGCAGCTTCTCCCCCGACAGGGTGTGTGTGTATATGTGAGTGTATTATATTCTGGCTTGGCTTCTCTCTGTCACGTTGCAGAAAATGTGAGAATGTGGAAGGGAGGTGGGTTTGGATCTGGCTGTCTAAGTAACAAGAAAATAAGCTAGCTCCTGAAATAAAATGTTGGAGCTTGTTTTATTTATTCATTGCTTCATGCTTTACTAAGAAGTACTTAAATATGACGAGTGAGTGTCAGATATGACTCACTAATATTGAAAGATTTAGAGGCTTCAGCTGCGTAAGCTGTGACTTTGACATGAACAAAGCAGAGTTTTCAGTGGAGGCCTCCTCTGAGGTGTCTGTGTTTTAGCTGAAGATCTGTTTAAGCAACTGAAGTTCTCTCATTGTGAGAACAAGCACTAGATAGGAAAACATTCTGCTCATCTTCTCTGAGGGCTTGGGGAGTTTCCTTGAAAAACGCTATGCTCTTCTTACCCCTCAGTTACAGGTTAAGTGCTGCATGTTATGAACAGGGTTGAAAGGAAGGAGTTCCACTTTAGAAAATTCTGGTTGAGAGAGATACCCATGAGATAGGGAAGGGTGAGGTGTATTGCTGCCAGTTAGGAGCAAAGAGAAGAAAATTTGCAAAGACGTGAACTGCAGTGAAAGCCAAGAGGAAGGGTCCCATCAAACTGAGAAGTTGTATTTGTCTGATGTTAATAGAAAACCCCTCCCCTCTCTCTTAGCCTGGAAAACCGAGTGAAGGAGACCTTGCACAAAGCCGCCTGGGACAGCCCGCAGGAACAGCTCTCTGCTAGTCCCACAGACTGCACAGGAGGTAAGGGGTGAGTTGTTCCTGAACCAGAGAGGATGGTCACCTTAGAATTAGCCTTCTCTGAATCATCACCTCACCCCTGACATCCAGTATTCCTACGCGAACATGCGTAAGAGGGAGGAGAAAATAGGCTCCCTTTAGTTTATAGAAACACAGGTTACACAACTGCACCTTCTAAAACCTGTCTGAGAAGGAAACTCATTCTCTGGTCCCAGATCTTTAAAACACATAATCTACCGAAAGGGTGGAAAGCCTTTGTTTGGACTGTTGGTTATAGTAACAGCCACAGGCCATTCCCAGTATACTGTCTGCCAAACAAAAACTGCAATTCTCTATCCAAAGACATCTTTTTAGGTGTATGAGGAGCTGTATCCCCTATTTAAGTGTACAATATGTGGTGAATAAGAACATGGTTTAGCACTAAAAGCCATGTTCTTAGCAGGGTGTGAAGCTGTGTGTAGTTTGCTTTTTCAGTCTGTGCTTTCCCATCAGGTTCCAGACAGCTAACTCCCTTCTTTTATGCATGACAGTAAAGGAGGTTTTGCAAGATTTGAAACAGTGGCCAGACACCCTGAAGTGAGTCATTAGAGTTGAGATTCCCTTAAAGCGCTCGTGTGCCCCAGGATTTGTGTAGGGAGTAGTTAGTTTAGTCTCAGTACAAGCCAGTATTGGTTGCTGTTGAGTAACTCTAGAGAACTGTTGAGTTCCCAGAACAAAAAGAGATTGTTGCTTTTCCAGGCAGGCCCTGCTCTCGCTGCTGCTGCCATGGCACAACCAGCTGTGAAGCCAGATTGAAGAGGCCTTGGGCAGGGAGTTGGTTCAGCCAGCGACTGGCCGGGGGCTCTGGGTGTCCGTGGGCTCACCACGGCCGTCCTTGGCACAGTGGCACGTGTGCCCCTGCGAGGTGAGGAAGTACGAGGGCTGCAAAGCCCCGCAGACCCAGCTCAGCTGCTCAGGTGGGCGACGCTGACTGTCTGGGTCTGCACAGACCAGAAAAACCTTCAACAATGAAACATGGGGTTGAGGAAACGGCCTTGGAATTATGGCGCAAGGACCCTTTCGTGCATTCTGGGCTACGGTTCCTTTTTTTTTTTTCTTTTTTCATTGTAGACATATTCCTGTTGCCCAGCTGCAATTTAGACCATAGAAGTCTTTGATGAAGTAAATCTGGTTCATCTCGTAATTTTTAGGGACAACTCCAATTCAACTGAACAACCTTTTGTAAGAAAACAGAATCAAGTCAGAGGATCTGAATTCCCCTTTCTCAGCATTCTAGAATGGCCCCAATTACAGCATTTACTGCAGTATTAAACCTTCAATTCACTGTGTCTCATCTCAGGGAGACTTTCTGGGTGTTGGGCCTGATGAAAATGGATATGCTGAACTTTACCACCCAGAGCCTGCAAGAGCACAACGTCCCATATGAAGGGAAGAACTTCCAGGAACTCTTGGAGAAGCTGCCTTGTAAGTCACTGGGGAAGGGAGAGAACTACAGGAGCTGTTAAAAGCCTGAAAGGGAACCTGAGTATCCCAAAGCTGACGCTTTCATCACGTGCTCAGTAACAGATGAGAGAAATACCTCTGAAAGCTGGAGGATTCCTGGGTCCCTTCTTCAAGGCTCTTCACTCACCTTGCAGAAAGGAAGTTAGTAGTGTGCTTCACTTTCTGCATGCATCAGACAGAGCTAAGAGCTTTCTTATGAGGAGCTGTAAGCTCTCACGAGTTTAAAGTGTTTTGAGATCCTCAGAGGAATGAGCAAAACACTGTTAGGAGGCATATTTAAAAAGCAAAACCTGCATTTGATTTTTTTTTTTTTTTGCTAGGCTGTAGAGGATTTCTCTCTGGTTGCCTCTTTCCTTCATCAGACTCTGTTAAAGGTGCTTCTTGGCCACTGAAATCCAGTGTAATGTTCTCTGGATACCAGTCTCAGTAGTCTAATGCTGTGCCCTGGCAGCAGAACGTTCATGCTGTGTGTTAGTGATGGTGAAAGCCATTCCCCACCGTCCAGAAGCCAGCATGATGCCTTTGCCTTCCAAATACACGTCCCTTCGGCCTGCAGCATCCCACACCTGCTTCTTACTGACTTGGCCTGACCATCTCTTCCTGTAAAGGTCCATTTTTGTTACCCTGTTGCAGGCAGTGGGGGTCAGAGTGGAGAGAGGCAGGGCCAAGCAGCAGCAGAAGTGTCCGTGTCCTCGCAGGCGTGCGATGGGGGCAGCAGCCGTAGCACAACTCTGCCAAGTCACTGAATCGAGGAGACGTGAATCTGCTCTGCTGGGAGCCCGGGCAAAAGGAATACCCTGAGGTAGGAGAAGTGCTTGGGCACCTTTAGAGCTTTTTCATAGACAAAAGGAACAAATGGACTGATTCTGCATCTTCTGTAGAAGGAACTGGCCAGACTGTCCCCTCCACACCACAAGTCACTGCACGTGGTTTTTTTCCTTATGTGAAACAAATTGGATTTTTCACAAAACTGCTGCCAGGCAGCTGTCTTCCACTCAGCTTCACAGGGACATTACAGCTCTGCTCCGTGGCTTGAGATCTGCTGAGTTACCACAGCTGCTGTTTCTACAGCCCACAGCCTGATTTGGTTTCTGTTCACAGTTTAGGGATCAGGCCCGACTGGAGGAAGAACAAGTGCAGGTGAATGAGTTTACCATCAGGGCTGCAGTCCTGCTGGTGACCAGGGCCATGGAAGCACCTTCTGTGGTTCACCTGTGTTTGTAGCTAGGCCGAGATGAGTAACAAAGGTACTCTTGGAAGGGCTATCTTGTACCAGGTGGGTTACTCTGAGTTTTCTTTTCCAGAAGAAGAGTATGTGGACACTGGTTGGTTATGGGATGAGCATCAGGAATCTCCCCTGGGAGTGGAAGTGGATTGGAGATCCAAATAGCAGCCAGGTCTGCAAGGAGGCAGAAGCCAGACAGCCTTTTTGGCTGGGGGTTAACTCTCTAAAGCAATAGTCCCTTCTTGATTAGAGGGGAAAATTAGTAGTGCTGATCACTATTGCATGAGTTGGCCACAGGGCAGCCCAGTGCTTGCCAAAGAGCCAGGCGGGGAAGAGTTCACAGAGCTCTGGCTGAGCGCTGGCTGTCCTGTGTGGAGACGCTTCCCTCCCCGTGCCTGCAATAGCCCTTCCCCACCCAGCACGTGTTGTGACCAGAGTCCGGGTGCCTTTGTATGGTTTAGGTGTGAAGAAGCTTTAAAAGCCACCAGCGACCGGGTGCTCCGGGAAGGCAGCAGGACTCTCGCAGTTACCTGCCTTGTACCACTGCCAAATGGGCTTCCCCAGAGGCCAGAGAAAAAACCATCACAGTCAAGGGCAACGCCGTCTGGCATGTCACTGGTGAGTCTCTGAGCTTGTGTAACTCGACCTTGAAGTCACTTTGCACTCCTAGGCCACAACTTTGGAGCACCCAGGACAGCTCTAGGATCAGTATGAGCAAACTCCCTGCACCGAGCAGAACTAGTGCTTGAGGGAGGGAGCTGAGGTCAGGGTCTGGCCCCTCCACGGTCTGCACAGGACAGGAGGGTCAGGGAAGCTAGGTTTAGAAACTGCCTTGATTTTCCTATTCCACCCTGAAACATGCCCAAACAGTAATTGCTTTGAAAAATCTCTTAAACCCTCCCATCCTTGCTAAAAGCTAACCAGGCCCAAGTGCAAGGTCTCTTCCTGGGGAGTGTTGAAATCTTCAGGCTAGGACACAGAGCGAGAGCTGAATCACTGGCTGTAGTAAAGCACCATGCTAAGATCTTTAAATAATATTTATCCCTAGAGAGTGCACTGCTTGGTATTCAGCTAACCAGCTGCCCTATAATGCTGCTCCATCAAAATATTTATTCAAATGGTTTGGATAAGAGCTGGTTATTCTGACCTTTTATTAGTACTCTGAACGCTAACTCTGCGTCAGACTGCAGTGCCACAGGCAGCTAGTACACTACAGGAAAGATTATTTCCACATGGAAGACTAGCTTTTATCAGCTATGAAAATAAGGTGAGGCTCTTCCTGCCCACTGCTTCATCTAGTTAAGTATCCTTCCCAGCCCCTGTGGACTCCACCACACTGTTTATTTGGGTTTATTCTTTCCATGTCAGAGCAAGGTATGTTGTTTTGATGTAATTCAGAAGGCTGAATTAATAGCCTAACCCAAACCTCGATAAACTACAGGCTGGGCAGTGTGTGATGGCTGTGACTCACCGACGCCGTGGCATTAGAAGCTGCAGAACTAAGACAACCTTCCCCACTCTGTGTCTAAAAATCCAACCCGCGTCTTGCCTGGGCTCTTGGCCACTATCAACATTTTCCACTTCAGGTGTGAGAACATCTGAGGCAGCCGGGTGGTTGAATCTCAGCTCTGTCTTCCTCAGAGAGGCTTCTTGAGTCAAAACGCTGCTGCGGCAGCAAGATAAATCCTGGGCTCTGAAGTGCTATATTCCATTATGCTTCTAAGATGCTTGACACTTCCAAGTGCAGTACAAAAACTCTCAGAGTGGGTGAAAAATCTTTACTGTTGACCTGCTCCACCTGAACAGGTGGTTTGATGGATGTGACCATTCTTTAGTCCTTCCACCCAGTACCCCAGCAACCAGCCATGGTTAGAAGCAGCTACCCAGGACAAAGTGAAAACAAGGCGAGTACACCCGATCCTCGAGTGCTCCCCTTGTGTCACAGCTTCACCTCGGTTCCTGTGCTTGATGCTGTTTCATCTGCTTAGTATTTGGAAGAGGAATATGTTAATCCGCTGTGTCCCTGAATCCAGCCATCCTGCCACGCCGCGGCCGTCCTCAGATCTGCTCGACTGCCTAAGAAGCCTTTCTCTCAAAATTAGCTTTCTGCGCAAAGGCTGATTGTTGACTTTTTTTTTTTTTTTCTGTTTCCATACTTTTGATCCTGACAGAGGAGTGGATTCACTCCTTCCTCAGTCTTTTCATCTCCCCCGATGAACAGAATTCTCAAACGTTTCCCAAAGGGCCTTGATCCCATTCAGGAAGAGCTGCTGGAAGTTTGGTGCAGGTTTGGAAGCACAATCCGTCACAGCAGGCAGCTGTTTGGATGGCATCTTGGAAATTCTCAGGAAGGTGCTTCTCCCAGACGCAGGGATGGATTCTTTCTGATCATCTCCACCACAGACCAGGCAGGGGCAGAGCTCCTTCTCCAACAGTTCCTCAAATCATGCTCATAAAAATCAGACAAATCCACTGGGGCCAGCATCACTACTGGGAAGTGACTCAGCCTGTCAGGATCTGAATAAACCTCTCAACTACAAAAGGTAGTGGCTTTTTTTCCCAAAAATCCTGCCACTATTTGATGGGGAAGGTGATGGGATGTGGAGCTCATAAAACTGCAGTGCAGCTCCGGCTTTTTTTAATTCAAGGTGTTAATTCTGCCATGGGCCTGTAACCTACTTTGCTGAAACGTTAGTCACAGCCCAGGGACACTGTTTGCATTTGATAAAGCCACACGGTATATAAAATTATAAAAATTGCTCAATATATTTCAATGTTAGCTTGAAAACCTGACTTACTGAATTATTAGAAATGGAACATATGGTATAAATTTAGCAATCCCTGGTGTATTTAATATTTTACATCAGTCAGATTTTACTTGACATGAAAATCTGAACTTTAACCTGTATTTAAGTGTCCGTATTTCTTGCTCTAATTTTACATAATGAAAATGTCCTACTTCTTGGCAAGCCAGAAATCTTTGCTGTGTAAATACTATATACAATGGCTGCCCAGACTGTTAAGTTGTTACATGAATCCGTTGCTGCTGTGCTGCAGAAAAGTGATTTTAGTGTTTGTCAGGAGTAAATTCATGTCCTGGCAGTCCCCAGGGGATCAGTCCTGGTCGTTTGGGGGTAAAAATGAGCTTTTCCCACCATCACGTGGAGAACACAAAGCGTTGTGCTACGGCTCAGTCTGCCTTTAACAGAACACGTGGATGTGTTTTCATGCATAAATTAGTTTGGTTAAAAAGAACTGAGTATTCAGTATTTGGGATGCTTACAACTGCAGCAAGAGCAGGTCCGACCACAGTGACTCCTCTGCAGCCAGCACGCCTCAGGGCAGCACAAACCTGCGTCTCTGCCCCGTGCTCTGATCTTTCCTTGATCCTAGGCTTTACAAGGATGGTGCTAGACTGAGCCTGAACACCACAAAGCTGCTCACCCCTTTTCTCTTACCTTTGCAGGTCCTGTCTGGGACGAGGAGGAGAAGTGTTGGTGTAACGCTGAGGTCACAGTGACAACGGGACGAATGCGTGTCTAAGTTTGTTTATTAATTCAGTCTGTTCTAAGTTGTACAATTATGAAAACAACAAAACGACTGCTGGAAGCCCAGGAATATTTACAATCTCGCCTTGTTGTAGTGAGGTCAGTCTATGTTGTTGCACAGATTGGTTATGTTTGGTACCACAAGATGTTTTAAAATTCAGACAAATTTGAACAGATTAACAATTGTATATACAGGAAATAAAAGGAAATTCAAGTATCAAAATACAGACAGATTAAATAACATTTGTATTACAAATCAGTCCCACTGCCATACATCACAATTAGCAAAAATGTCTACATTGCAAACTGAACTTGACTGTTCTCTGCCCTGTTAGGGAATCTCAGGTTATTCTTCCATGGGTAAGGAAAATGTTTGAGCTAGATTGACTTTGCAAGAGCAGCACAATTACTTTCTTTTTTTTGGGGGGGGGGGAAGACACTAAGTACTGCCCAGTGAGACCCAAAAGGGAGACCTTTTGCAACAAGACAGCATTGCAACCACCGTGCTTGCTCTAAAATAAAGATCTGATTGCGTGGAGATGATGTGAGCAGAAGCAAGCCAGGGGAGATTCTGCTGCTAGAAACTTCTGAAGTGGGGCAGAAGGAGCATTAAAGCAACTGACTCCACTTCAGCTGCATCCAGAACTGGATGCGTGCGGGGGGACTATTTGGCATCGGGTCTGTGTCTCAGCAGCCTCGTGAAGGAACAGACATTTCCCTAGAGGTACCTCTTGGAAGGTGCCGTATCTTCTCCCCGGGAGGGGGACAGGCACGTACCCCGCAAAAATTGCATAATTTCTTCTAAAAAGAATGATCCCAAAGCAAGTTGAAAGACAGCTGAACAGCTAAGATTAGCTTTTTGTAAATACAAAAAAAGGATAAAGCAGTTTCAATTTGAAAAAAAAAAAGAATCATCCCCTCCTATATAAAAAAAGACAACAACTGCATCTTAGTTTACTTCTCTGGAGTTCTCAGCCTGGACTCGTGCCATGCACAAACCACAGTCTGTGAAATACAACCCGGCCCTACAAAGGGCAACAAGGCCCAGGGCAGCACCACCTCTTCCCAGGCTGGTAATACAGCAGATGTGTTTTGATTCAAAGTCTTACTGAGCACCAGAAATTTAGGGCCCTTTCCTCCAGATGCCACAAAACCCTGGAGGGAGGAAGAGCCAGAATACTGTGGAAGGGAAGGGTTAACAGATGACTGGGAGTCAGTGACTGGCACAGTCCAGGATCAGCCTCCAGCACAAGAACCTTGAGAAAACCCATCAAAAAGAAAGGGGAGATGCACTGCCCAAACGACTGCTTTGTCCGTGAAGTGAGAAAGAGTATCTGGCTAAAGAACTGTTGGATCACTAAAGACAACCACAGGATTACATACAGGACTGGAAAGGACCACCAGGGTCACGGAGCCCAGTCCCCTGGAGATTGGAGTCTTCATCACCACGTCACCTCCAAGCCAACCTTCAAAAAGCTCATGCATCGAAAAAAGAAAGGTGTCCCTCCTCCCAAGCAGAGGTTCAATTTGCAATCTCTCCAAAAAGACTTGTTGCCAACACACCAAATATTTACACTTACACCAGTATGAATTGCAACATATGCATAACAAGGAATGTTAGGTTTCCTAAATTCATTGACTTCAAAAAAAAAAATCCACCTCCACTTCCCCCTCCTAATCATTTACAGGTCTATGCCCTTGGGATTACAGTTCCCTTCTCTCCCAGCCTTACTGGTTAGAGAGACTAAATGAAATCCTGACATACAGCAGCAACTGGAGTTAAAACAGAAATTATTCAGGCATATCACTCTAGTAAAGCAGCAGGGCACCACATCCCCAACCATCGCGATGCCTGTCGAGGTGGTAACAAACAGGCTGCGTTGTATTTTTGCGTCTGAAGAATTAAAAACACATCCATTTTAACATCTCTCCCTTGAGGGGAACAGTAGTGTGAAAACACGTCAGTCACAGCCAAAATGACTGTTAAATACTCTGGTAATCTGAAAGAAAAGTAAGCACACAGCACCTTTGAGATGGTGGTATCTGGGGATACCGGACTTAGATGGGGCCAAACCATCCTCCGGTTGAAACGATTTATCCTTAGGGATGGACTGTTTCAGTGTAATGCCCAGAATGTAACTCCTTATTTGTTCATCTTCTGAAACTTGCACTGATTAAATAATGAGCTAGTATCAAAAAAGTGCTAAATCACAATTGAATATACCTTAAAAAAAAAAAACCCAAATCCAAAACCAACCCAACTCTTCAGGGCATAACCGCATTTAAAAACAAGACAGGTGCACAAGAGGCTGGAGAAGGGAGTCGTCTCCAGGTATTCAGTGCGTAAATGGGAAGAAATTGTGTCCTTGCCATAGAAATGTCAAGTACTGCAATGCAACAGTTCTCTGTAGGGGAAGGAAGCTTTGTACCATCGGTAATGCTTGGCCACAACCACTCTGGGGTGAAAGATCCTTTGCAGACTCTTTTCCTTACATTATTCCATTTGCTAGAAAAGCGTGGAGTAGCTTTGAAAACAAAGGATGCAGACTTACCCTGCAAGGCTTCTCACACTGGAGGAAGTTATTTCCAAGAATTTGGCGTTCTCTACTGTTCACCCAGAATTGAAGCAGATTTAAGTACCATTAGAGATGCGCACACCACTCCCACTGCTAAGACTTTCTATTGTACTCCTTGCCGGACTGTGTGGATTCTCAGTAAATACGGATATATATATATATATAATTTTTGTTTTCCTCGCCAAAAAACTGCAGTGCTACATTTAAACCGTGAACTGGATTTGCTCGGTATCATTTCGCACGTTAAAAAAGAAACGTATTGAAAGACGTTTGTCTCAAACTAGAAAAGGTGACATCGCTCTCGGCCTCGGAAGTTTCAACTTTCCTTTGCTAGAAATGGAGGGAGCTGCTTTTCCTCAGCTGGTGGCTGGGATCCCTGTCCCCCCTCTGCTCTGGGAGCCCTCACCGAGCAGCCATGCACCCGCTCCGGGGCAGACACCAGTGCCAGGTGGAGATGATCTTCGTGTCAGCAGGCCACTGCTTCTTAGGTCTCTGCCCCGTTACTACATTTCCGTGGTAGGAGACAGCTGCCCGCAGATCAGCTTTTCAGAGGCAAACAGAAAGGAAGATAATGGAATGAATGATTTCCGAGTCAGACAAAAACAAGTGCTGGGAAAGACGAGGCGTACGGCCCGGAGACGAGACACAGCCGTGAGGGTTACGGACACACAGTGGAAGCTCTAGTTTAGGTGGGGCTGCCTGTGATCCCAGCTGGGCTCGGACTGTCACCCTTCCAAAGGCACATGCTCTAGTGACCCGCGTTCGGGACGTGCTGAGGAACCTGCCCTGCCCCGCCGGGGGAGCTGTAAGAGCTCAGACTCTCTGAAGTCAGGGGGGGGTGTGTGGGCAGCTGCACAGTAGACGCTTACGCACAGGAACCGCACTACCACCAGTACCCGTGATTCAGTTTCTCTTTGAAGGATATGGAAACCCTCAGGGCACTCTTACAGCTTGGGAAGATGCTGATCAAACCCAAACCCGACCTCTCGGAGCACCACGACGCTCCGCAACGCTTCGGCTGGCAGGGTGGCACGGCAGCGCTCCGGTGTCTGCAGGCAGAGGAGCGCTGGCTCTGGGTTAAAGGGCTCCATGGCACGTGAAATATCAGTACTAGACTGAGCTTTCCTTCTACTTTTTTTTTTTTTTCTCTAAGACAATCCTCTTACTCCTCTCACTTGGGTTCTTACCAGCCTGGCCCTCGGTTTGAAGTCAGTTTGCCGCTCAAGTGCCATTAAGCCACCAGTGACTTGGGAGACCAAACTCATTCCTGAGAAAGAGCTAAATAAAGATTTTGAAACATCAGATTTTACTGCAAGTCTGGGGAAACAGAAGCTTTGAGGCAACAGCTCTAAAACGCCAGCAAAACTTGGATAAGCCTCTTCTAGCCCCTAAATACCAGGTGCAAATAACCCAGGGCTGCTCTTCTGATCTCTCCCCACTAATACCAGCTGGTGATTGTGAAAGGAGGTTTGGGGTCAATTCTAAAAGCTGTTTTGGAAATGGAGCTTTACTGGAGATCCGAGCGCACCCTCTTACCCATCTATGTCTAAGATGCCCACCCAGACACGTCACGCTGAGGTGAGCGGGTACCTGCTGGCCTCCTTCCTGCACAGCTCTCTACTGCTGCCCCACCCTCACCACCAGCGCTCCAAAACTGGGCTGCGAGGGGATTCTGCCAAGATGCAAACCCCAGGATGGGCGCCGACACTCATGTCAAGGGGCACATCAGCGAGTTTCATGCAGCCCAACAACCACCACATGGCTGCAGCCCCTCTCCTGCTGCCCCATCTGCTCAGCCCCTCTCCCCGGGAAAGGCACGACAGCCGCTGCCGGCGAGGAGCTGGTCGGGGTCCAAGATGCAGCTTTGCCACGAGGCCGCCTGCACGAGTTAAATAAATCATCTGTCAGGAGAGCGAGGCCGAGCACCGGGGGTTTGCTGCCACGGTGTGGAAGTTGCAGCACCTTTCACTAAAGGGTCTTAAAACTGCTGTGAACGGAGCAAGCCCTGCACCCCCGGAGGTAGGTCAGTACGTCCCCAGCCCATATGCCGGGAAACGGAGGTAAAGAGAAGCCAAGTTGCTTGGACACAGAGCAAGTCAGGGCGAGGCAGCACCGGGGCAGGAGTCCTGCCTCCCAACGCTGTTTAGTCATCGGATCCTCATCCTCCTCCTCCTCAGTTTCATCTTGAATTTTGCAAATGCAAGCGAAGGAATGAGGGGCAGGGCTGTGGACGGTTCGTAGGGGCTTTCACGGGACCGTGAACCACCACACGGCATCCCCGGACCTCTCCTGGCTCTGCTCCGACCTGTGACAAGCATCCTGCAGTCTCAGGCAAATGATTCCCAGTCACAGTCTGGAATTAAAAGCTGCTTCTACTGAGATTACAGAGAAATGGGGATGGTCTCCCAGAGGACAAACATGCACACTTGAGTAACAGCCAGAAAAGGCAGAGGTGCTCCCTGACGCAGGGCCATCACTAAGTGAAATCCTCGCTCTCGTGGAAGGCGACAGATGTTTCAAAATCCCTATAGCCCTCGTCGTGCAATGGTTTGTAGACTGAAAACAAGCTTTGGCATCGACAGCACACTGATTTCAATCACATTTCTCCCTTCGGCAAAAAAAAAAGTACAACTGCAGGAAGCCTGCTGAACGCAGCAGAGCTCTGTCTGCTTTATCAGACCTCTACAGCGCAGCCTCCAGCCCCTCTCAAACACCTTCCCAACACGGGGCTAATTACATGTGCCTTTAAAAGCTTAACCCTTTACAATCTGCCAAGTGAGAACTACATCCATAGCTCACGAGAAGTTTGGTGAGTGTAAACACAACTATGGGGTGGGCGGGGGAAAAAATCCTACAAGGGACTGAAATGCATGCAACCAAAACTGCACCTCATCTCTGAGAGGGGACAGAGCTCACAGTGGGAATGATCACGCCCAGCATTCCCGTTGGAACAGATTTTCTGCTCCAGGCTTCGAGGGGAGAGACTGTGGGCAAAGGTCCCCGTCAGGAAATCTAGTGAACGTGTGTTATTTGCAGACAGCATCACAGTGGTTAGTGTCGATTCGAACGGCAGGGAAGAAGAGGGGTGAGTTCACTGGAACAGTACGCAGCCGTGGCTCAGTCGGGAGGAAGAGGATCTAGGAGGAGGGGGTGCGTGCACCGCAGAGACAAGAGGTCTCCATCAGTCCAAGGATAAGAAGGTGAAATAGAAAAAAAAAAGGCCTGGGGAGTGTCACATTGCCCCAGGGATTCACAGTGCCAGAGCGAGGGGAAAGACGTGAAAACCGCAGGCGCCTTCCTGGATCCACATCTCCACGGTTCCCCCAGCCTGCATCCCTCTGCACCTCCCACCTCACAG